AGAGAGAGAGAGAGAGAGAGAGGAAAAGAAGATTAAAAAATCTGATTTTAAAAACCGACTTTGAAATATTTACGATTATGCCATTATGCTTCTGTTCATCTCAATTTTTTCGTTACAACTTCAATTCGAGCCCACTACATGTCTACGGACTCATCTCGACGCGATATACGTCATGGTACATTCATTTCCCCAAAATCCTATCATATTAAAAAGTGACCAAATTAACCCTATCCCTAAGGGTAAAATTGAAATTTCATAATTTATTAAATTAAACGAATACTTAAATTAGGGTTGGGATGTTACATTGCAAGCACTAAGTGTTCTAGGAACATGAGAACACTACTTATATATTTTATATCCAAGGTACAGTGTTTGGTACATGTAGTGTAGGAAAAAGGTTGAGTTATGACTCATAATAAACAAAAATTGGAAGTAGACTTGACAATATTGTCCATGATACACTAACACGTACGACACGAATTCACACGAAAAAATCAGTATTCGGGTTGGACTTATCGAGTCAGGCTGAAAATGAGTGGACCCGTTAGACACCTATTAAGCTAACGGATCCTGTCAGTGTCATTTCTCTCTCTGTCTCTCTGTCTTTCTCTCTGCTTTGAATTTTTTGTTGTGGAGAAATGCAAATCTATAATGGCAAAGACCAAAGGCCTTTTCTTAAGTGGTGGTGGTTATGGGTTTTTGAAATTTCGGGAGGGAGATGTAAGGGACACTCATCGTAGAAGTAGTAATGTTTGACTTTTTTTTTTCCTTTGGTTTATCTATTTATTTTTTTATCATTTTTTTATTCTTAACGTGTCATTTCTTATCATTCACGAATTGCAACGAGTCGTGTTAGTATCAGGTACTTTCCACCCATTTACTTAATAGGTCATGTCATGTCAACTAGTTAAGAAAAGCGGGTTGACACGAACATGGCAAACACAACCCATTTGCCATATAGAATTGAAAGCACTTAGTTAAAGGGTTGTTGAGGCCCAAAAAATTCACAATTGGGCCCGAATATATTCTCGGCCCAAAACGATATATTATTGAGAAAAAATCCAATTTGGAGCACGCAAAGATTTACCGTGCATGAATCACACTTCATGTGTCATTCCAAATAAATAATCTATCGTGCTAGGAATCAAAATTAAGATTGTAAAATGCGTTAGTTCTACAAATCCATGCTCATTATCCCGTCAAGCATCATAATTGAAAGACATGCCAAGCAACATGCCATGCCAAACATTGTTATGTCACACCCAACCACGCTGCAAGCCTAAGTGGGCCCAAGACACTCAACTGCCCGGGGCTTGTTTGAGTGGGTTGTGGTATGGATAGGAATAAGCGCCCATTGATGGGCCGAGAAATAGAGGTTCTGAGTCGCTTGGGAGCCTCGGAACCCAAGCCCATTTCTTAGGCCCAAACATATGGGTAAGCACAAAAAGGGAGAATAACCCAACCAAAAAACCCAAGCAAAATGGCCCACTAAAATTAACCCATATAGCCCAATATTTGATGAGATTAGCTCATTTGTTTGGTAGGTTGAAAGCCCATACAAATTAGAAGTAAGAGGGCAGTAAAGGCTCCAACATTTGACTGAAAGACAAAGCCTTGGATGGAGCTGGGAAGACCATGTTGCTGGGAGGGAAGGAACAAGCTTTCAAGCAAAACATCCAAAGACACAAAAGATATTGGCACGCAAAGAGCCACCCTTCGAACCAGCAAGTATACTAAAGCTCTTTCCTTTATCAGATCTGACTATGAAGGAGGAAAAGAAAGGGAGAAAATGAGATATCTGAAAATAGGAATTCATCACTAGGAAGGCTACGGGAAAAAAGGCCTTAAGCTCCCAAATCTCCTGATTTTGTGCGAAAGAGCAGAGTAGATTTCACCAAAATAGGATGATTGAAGGGATGAGGGGAGAAAGGAAGGGAAAAACTTGGCAAAATGGGATGGAAGCCAATAGGGTTTCTTGGAAAAAATATGGCTTCCAACGGCTATAAATAGGGTCTCTTCTACCCAACAAAAATCATCCACAACCAGAGAGCAAGCTTCTTCTTTTACTTGCAAAATCCAGCCATTTCGTGCACTATTCACCCTTCTTCCCCATTTTTCCTCTTTTGGCAGATTGTTCTAACAGTGACAGAGTCACTGTCAAGCTGCCGGAAGAAGCACTCAAGCCACTATTTCCTTTTTTCCCCCTTCTCTCTCAGCCAAACCTACTTAAAAACCTTTCCTCTCTTACCTGGACACCTTTTCTACTCTCCAAGAACACATAATTCTCTCTTTAGTGCTAAACTCATGTCAATTTTGCTCCCATGCATTCACAACAGAGAGGTCCTTGCGGGACCTCTCTGTGTAAATAGCATGATTACTGCCAATTTGAGAGGATTTGTTTACATTTTTCATTGTTGAGACCTCTCTTGATATCATACATTTCTTGATATCAAACATGGAGGAATTTCACGCTTCTGTACAATGGTCTCACACACATTTTTTCACCTTCAAGTTAGTTGTACGAAAAAGGATACTCAAATGAATTAGTTTATACCTTCTCAAATGGTATTTGTGACAGAACTTTGTGTCTTCTTTGCTTGTTTCTGCAGCAGTTTTGGTATTTTTCTTCTGTGTAGCCTTTCTATGTTTTCTCTTTTCTGCGTTTTTGCCTTTTGTTTTATGCTCCTCTCTTTTTCTTCCTCCTCAATCAGAATCCCAGCAACCTCTTCGTTTTCTCTCCAGACTTCTCGCCTCTGCCTTTTTTGCCTATGTACGTTCATGACTTTTATAGGCAAAAGATGAATAGCAGTTGGGGAAGCACGTTTGCTAAGTGGGCGGCCTCTCTGCTGTAAGGAGTTGCAAAGGATAAACACGATCTCTTCCCACCTCTTATTTTTTATTTGTTTTATTTTATATTTCTTTTGAAAACTGACCTTATCTCCTTTTTAATTTCTAGAAGGAACAATCAACAACCTTAAAGATAAACCTTCACGTCTTGGGCTTTTATCCTGGGCCCCGTTCCTTGTCATGTAATTTTTTGTGTTCAACACCTAGCATTCATGTCATGTTTGTAGTGTTCGTATAAATCCGATTTTCTTAACCGGTTGACACGACATGACACAATAAGAAAATAAGTGGAAAATGTCAAACGCAAACACCACCCGTTACAATTCGCAAATCACACGACACAAATAATTTGAGAAACTGAAATTAACTTAAACGTAAAAGGATTCTTTGAACAAACGTATTTCACAGTACAAGGATACTGCAGTTTTCCTCTCTTAGATATATCTGAAAAACAAAGCTTACAAAATAACAATCTCCACAATAACCACTAACACACAAGTGCAGATTTTGTGGAGTTCAACTACCTTAAGCAACGGAAGCAAATTTGAACGTGGTGAACAAACTAAACCACAACTTCTACATTCTAGGACTCCAGCTTGACTTGGTCTCTACATGGCCATGTCAACATTATTTAATTTAAAAAACTAATCAAACTGAACTAAATAACTTTTAACAAAATACACATTAATCACAGCACCCTCTCAACTTCACAAAATACCATCCCCAGATCCATAGAACCAAAATTTCACAAAACATAATAAATTAAAACCAATAAATCGCAATTGGAGTTAAATGATATATGCAAATTGGCAGCAAACCCATAAAAAAATTGAAAAAAAAAGAAGATAAAATCAACAACCAGTGAGAGAGAAGGTTCGCTAAAAGAGGAGGAGAGAAAGGGTGTCACAGTGAGAGAGAGAGAGAGAGAGAGAGAGAGAGAGAGAGAGAGAGAGAGAGAGGAACAAAAAAGAAAGCTATGTTTAGTTTCTGAGAAAAATAATAAAAAGACAAGAAACTTACAGAGAGAAAGACAGTGGGAGAGTTGGGGGAATGAGGGAGGAAGAGATGAAAGAAAAGAAAGAGAAGGAGAAAGAAGAAAAAAGATATAAATTTACAAAAATACCCTTGAGCTTAATGGGTTAACGGATATTCGCGAATTGAGACGACACGACCCATTAGCTTAACGTGTGGCTAACGAGTCAACACGATATCAACATGACACGATAACCTGGACTTGAATACTGAATTTGTTTTTGCAAATACGTGTCGTGTTAAAGGGTCGTGTACGATATTGTCAGGTCTAATTTCGAGTAAGGATGAGCTAACGACTCTCAAGATGGGAGAGGAGAAGGATAGATCTCTATATCAAGCAAAATATCTCATTCACTATCCCTTGTTGTGTGCAAGTGTTGCTTACAAGCTGTCACCAAAGCCAAATCACTTACAATTGGTTTTCTTCTTTTTCTTTTAAAAAAATCAATTGGGACGCTCAAGGGGGCTAGCAATTTAATAAAATGTGAGTAACAATGTAAGAAATCATTACGTAGAAGTAAAAATATTTAAAATATAAAATAAAGGGATTTTTGTAGCGATATCACCTAAACTTATAGCACAGTTTCAATTTGTCACCTTAAAGAAAAATTTAAGAGAAATGTCACCACAATTTTTCAAAATCCATGATTTGTCATCTCACTTTAAAACCATCCAATTTAACTAAAAGTCAGGAATTTAAGAGAAGAAATTAACAATTTCTGTGTTTAGCAATTTAAGCACAGAATTTATTAAATGACGCGCAGCAAAAATCGTAGAAATTGAAGGGTCAAATTCCTAAATTTAATTTCCACCAAAATAGACGTCATTTCACAATTTCCATTCTGTCATTTACAAAATTCGACATACATAAATCCAAACACTAAAACCGTCTATTGCCAAAAATTGAAATGATGAAAATCTATCCATTATTTTAGAATTCTATGTAATTTTTAATTCTTTTATTCAAAAGAAGGGTTAATGGAGAGTAAAACAAATTCAGTTTCTTGACCCAAAAAGAGATTTCTCACGAGACAGTTACCCCCTTTCGTTTTCTTCCTGCGCGTTCTTCTTCCTCAGTTCCTTCTCTCTCCTCCCCCCCCCCCGCCCCCACCCCCTCAGTATGAATTGCGCAATAGAATAGAAGGTTGTAACTTGTATGCATAACGGCCTCGATAAAGTCTGCAGAAACCTCCAACACTAGGACAGAATTCGCAACCTTCTCCAGCTCTATCAGGTACTTCTTCTCTTTTTCCCTCTTCTGTGCTTTTATTCATACATTTGCTTCTTTTACACTATTGAGAAACTTATGATTACAGGAAAATCGATTATATGCAAAGGGGTGTTCATTAGTTTTTTTTTGGGGGGGCCCTGATTATAGAATTTATTAATATTCACTCAGTAATCTTGTGTACATAGCTTAAAATTTCAAGTGGCATTCCTCAAACTTCCACATTTCTCCACAGAATCTCTGAATTTCCAGCTCTGTCCAGGGACTAGGTTTCCGTGCGATTGAGAATGAAGACTGAGGCGATTGAGAGTCGGAGCAATTGCTCGTCTTCAACCGAGGTACGCATTGAGCAACGTGTTGTCATGCAAAAGTTAATATTTGGTATATTCAATGCCCCATTTGATTCAATTTCAACAGGTAGAATCCGGTTCACAAGGCAAGTCAGAGAAGGACTGTGAAATGGAGATGAGTTCCAAAGGCTCCGACCCTGCAATCTGGGAAGAAATTGAGCTTTCCGAGAGGTCAGTTTTGCTTTAATTTCATTACCCATTTTATAATACAATACTATCTCCTATTCTGTCTCCAATTGTTTATTGTGATAATTTTCAGCTACCTTGTTTGCTCAATGTATGAGGAGGCAGCGTCATCAGCCTCCTCTATTTTGAAGCGTCTTTCTAAACATAGTGAAGACCTTGAAGCCACAGACCATTTTGAATTGTATGACATGTTGGAATCGGCTGGTATGGTGCTTGTCCAATCCTTAAGAGAACTTGGAAGGTATGTTCATCTATTCTTTTAGGTGTAGCTTCAATCTTTGTGGAATTGATTGATTGCACCGCTGAAAATATCTAAAATCACATTTTTACTCCTTTCATTGTGTATGTTAAATTCTTTTTCAGTCTTTTCCTTTAGGTAATTTCTATATATTATGCAATCACTTCAGAATTGATGTAAATTACTATGGCTGAGATTTTTATAAATTTCCAAGGAAGTTAATGATTTAGTGGGCTTTATATGTAGTTCAAAAGTAATGTGTTCTTTGGAATACATTCATCCTGCTGTTACCCAACTGCAGATTCTTTGTTATTTTAAAATTCTATTCCATTTCAACTGCTCATTGATTGTTTATCTTTAAGAAATTCTCCTAGTTATCCTTTTTCATAATGAATGTGACTTAATTTGGGTTGATGCAGGACATCAGAAATTATGCACGAGCTCAAACTATTATTTGCTTTTGTTCCTACTATCCCTGTTCAAGTTCTTCTCACTGGGTACTCTTTATCTCCAGCTCAAGTTATCCATATTCGGATTCATTGTTTGATAAGTATTTAAAATGCCTTTTTGGAAGTTTGTCGATTTCATATTGTTTGATTCTAAAAGCATCATTGGAAATTGTGGTCTTCAAAATTTCTGTCTGAATTTGTTTTTCAGGATATGTTTTTATATGTCAGAAGGGCACTCTCTTGGTGTTCAAGAATTTCTGGAAGAGTTCCTTAGCAGGTGGACTTTTGTCGATGAACAATATGTTCTTATTGGTACAGAAGAAAATGCAGATTACACGGAAAAATGTGATGGGCCTTTTCTTTTGGGAGTTGATAAGTATCTAGAAGTTGTTGAGGTCTATGTTCTGAAACTTCTGGGAACCATTTTGAATGATGTTGACCTTGCATCCTCTTGGGTTGAGAATGCTAAATTACCTGAGGACAGAAGACAGGTAAATAATCTACGCATCATATGTTTGATTCTGTACCACGAGAATTAATTGAAGTGGTATTATTGGTTAAGTTCACTCTATGTCTATACAAATTTCACTCTTCTTTGCTTTTTGTTTTATTTTTAGAAGGCCTTTCTTTGTGAAATTGGAGACAAATAGCAGTGTCATGCTAGAGAAACTCTGTTGTCTAGATATGGTTTGACTGAGATTCAGAAGACACAGTCTCTACAATGTTAGAAGGGCAACGCCTTTCTGTCTGCTGAAAGGGTCTTTAGACACACACAAGTACATAAGACATTTTCTGGTTGAACTTAGTGCTTGAAAAATGAGCTTTTTCCTTATAACAAGTTGAGATCATGTTGCGTATCCTATTCTTTGTGCTACGCCACTGAATTTCGCAAGACACTCAGTGGTCCAACCCCAAGCTGTCATCAAATTTAATTTCAGTATTGTTTCACATATTTCCTGGTACTCATATGCGGTAATTGAGTAACATATTTCTTTTTCGACGAAGTGAAAAGGTCATGTGGTTTTAAATTATTTTGAGAACTGGAAACCGTCCAAATAAATGCAAAACCTTTCACTTTTTATATTAGTCTATTTATGGGAGTACCATGTCTCTGCCATTTTTACGTGGTGAGTAGCACTCCTTATTGAGTACAAGTGTGGCTCACTCACTTATTGAAGAAGTTTTCTTCCCATGTGATATGACAGTGTCCTTTAACTTCTTTCTTTTCTTGAATTATTGACATATTGCTAAGTTGCGTTATTTAACTTAATTTAAAATGGTATATTCAGTTGATCGAATTTTTAGGTTAAAAGAAATTGATACCACTTCAGTTTCTTCCATGTGTTTTCCTAGGTACTTCTGAGAAGATTACACTCATTGCATTCTGTTAAAGCCACTAATTCCTCACAAGGTACCTTCTCATCTTTGCTGGTGGACGACAATGAAGCTCATTCATCATGTTTGCAGCAGATAACTGTGCCAGACGGATATCCAAAAACCAAATACCCCCCAAAGGGAGACACTGCTAAGAACCAAGCAGTTTTTTATTTATCTAAAAGATTGGAACCATGTTTCTGGTGGTTCCGTACCATCACTCTGAAATTTGGAAGTTCTCGGGTGGTAATATCTAATGGAAAGATTGTCCTGGGCTTCTTGATTCTGCTCATATATTATGTTTTCCGGAGGAAACAAGCTACCATAAAGAGGTGAGATATTCTCTCTTCATAGTCAACATGTATGCATTCAATTTCCATGGTGATGATATTGGTTCCATTCCCTCTAGTCATCATCTAAGATAGTTACCGCCTAGACATGGGTTAGCTTCTGTATGGTAAATTCACTTGTTTTCATGAAATTAGTCAATATCCTTATTTTGGTAAAATGGACCTGTTGTCTGAAATTAATCAATAGCCTTTTTTTAGGTAAAATGGATCTGTTGCATGAAATTAATCAATAGCCTTTTTTTGGTTCTCGCTGCTCTGATAATGCTGTGGTCACTGCCTGGGTGGACAGTTCAGTAATTTTTTGAAAAACAAAGGTCACTTTAACTTGTTACTTCTATACTTCTTTTAGTTACGAACGCTGATTATCTGCACTCAACTGGTTGCCCCTTTCCCTTGTGCAAATTTGACTAGTGAGTTGGATGAGACCTCATTAGCCATACAAAATTGTTAATAATGCTGGATAATTGTTTGAAATTATTTAGATGACAACAAACAAGCGGAGAATATTTGTCAGTGTCTCATGTGGATACGGATGATTCACATGATATATAATAAAGAATTGAATTTGATAGGATAATACTGAAAATGTGTTCATATCTGATTTGTAGGACCTTTTTGAATTTGATTTCTCCGAAGGACACCACTTGTGTCCACCCATTCTTAATACTTCATTTGGAAGCTTGAAGAGAATCACCTTCATTTATGTTAACAGGAGAGCAGAGTTACTCAGGTGTTATTATTGTTTGCAAAGAAATTTTTACAAGGTTAATATTCCAAAGTAGCTTTGATATATATTAATTATTCTCAATGAAAACTTATGCTCAAACCACAGATATCTATGTTATATTTTACGTTGTATAAATCCAAAAGACTCATTACAATTCGGCATGTCTAGATTTGTAGGAGTTGGCTGTTGGACATGTTGTGTGCACGTTGACACACAACACTAATGTTCGTATGCATGATTGATTTGAATGCTTATTTATCGTAACACCTCCATGTAGAATTGGAATGGTGTTTTGGTGTGACATCATGATATTATACCAATGACTGACGCGTCACTTGTTTACTGAATATATATATATATATGTTACTTGTTCAGTTTTGTTTATTGGTTTTCCTAAATGGAGAATGCACTGATAGACTTTACGGATTTGATGTTTAAATTATTATGTTTCATTCAGAATTGTTCGGAGACAAACTTTATCAATGAAGAATGCTCTGGTAGACTTGTGGCAGCTTGCATTTTCATACCAGGTGAATCCTTTAGCTGCTGTTCAACCTCTCGCGACTGCAACAAGGTCAGGCCAGTGATAAAGCTTTAGACATTCTCCATTGAGGATTCTTTGCTATAACAACCAACCGCTAACAGCAGAACATTCTCTTCAGTGAAAATGCAATAAGTATGAACAAATCCTGGTAAGAGTGCTATTAGTATGCACCAAATTCGCAGTGATTGTGCTATTTTACCAGTGCAATATAGGTTCTGACGTTGGATTAGGAAACCATATTTTTGCTATTTTGTTTTGGTTGGGTTTTTATAGGTCACATCACGTGTAGATTTAATGATCTCTTTTTAGTACGTTTAAAAGATGAATTGCAGTTTTAAATTAACGAAACATTATACATAAGCCAGCAACATAAAGAAAGAAAGAAAATCGAATGGCATTTACTGAGTTGAGGCAAATGACCGGTTTATTGATAGCTATAAACTCTTTTAGTTTTGGATAATCCTGAAAACTGAGAATAATTCATACTTGGATCCAATTTTATAAACTCAAAAACAGATTTTAAGTTCAAAACCACAAAAACCCGTTTGGTAAGCCCATTTTAAAAAACTCAAATCCAAGAAAAACTCAAAAACACCCCATTATTAAAAACCAAAAAAGTGAGGTTTTATATATATTTTTTCCTCTCGCCTCCCTCTCTCTATGCTCTCTCTCTCACGTCGTAATCTCTCCTCCCTCTCTTCACGCTCTCTCTCTCCTCCCTTGCCCGTCTCTTTCTCTTCTCCTCCCTCTCTCGTCTCTCTCCTTTCTCTCACATCTCTCCCTCTCCCGTCTCTCTCTCTCTCTCTCTCTCTCTCTCTCTCTCTCTCTCTCCCCCTTTCTTTTGTTAATTTCAATTTAGGAATTTTTTTAGATTTTAAAAATAGTTTGGAGTTCAATACCAAACAAGTTTTTAAATCTTAAAATCACTATTTAAGAACTCATATTTTTTAAATTAAAAAAATCATAATTTTTGAACTTATTTTTTGGGGTTAAACGTTTTATTAGTCCTTGAGTTTTGACTCGATTTGCATTTGAGTACCTCAATTTTCAAAATGGTTCTCGTGGTCCTTTAACTTTAGTTTCATTTGGACAAATAATCCTACCATAAATTTTGTTAACTTTTTCTATTAAATGCAAGGGCAAAATGGGAGTCTCTCTCACCTTGTAATCTCTCCTCCCTCTCTTCACGCTCTCTCTCTCTCCCTCTCCCGTCTCTTTCTCTCTCCACGCTATCTCTCTCACGTCTTAATCTCTCCTTCCCTCTCTTCACGCTCTCTCTCTCTCTCTCTCTCTCTCTCTCTCTTTTCTTTTGTTAATTTTAAATTGGGAATCTAGGATTTCTAATTTTTGAATTTTAATTTCAATTTTTTTAGATCTTAAAAATAGTTTGGAGTTCAATACCAAACAAATTTTTAAATCTTAAAATCACAATTTGAAAACTCATATTTAAAAAAAAAAATCATAATTTTTGAATTTATTTTTTGAGTAGGATACTGTACAGCGCCTTAATTCTTTCTTTGTTTTCTGAAAATATATAATTGGGTTGTGCTAATATGGATTCATGTTTACTCTGATTCGAAGTTTAGTAAACATGCTTTGCCATTAGATGAGATCCAAGTAAGTAGAGTCGTGTTGACCTGGATGATGATGGGATGACATGGAGGCCTGTTCATTAGGGCCTAAAAAAAAACAAAGGCTTTCACCTCCAAGTTCAACCCACTTAAAGACGCGAAAGCAACCGCGTTTATATCAGCAGCAGCAATCGCCTCATGAGGCCCAAAGAAAAATCAAAAGACCAATTTAACAAGAATATGAAAAGGTCCTTGAAAAAGAAAAAAAAAACAATAATAATATGGAAAGGCTATAATGAGGGCTTAAAGTGAGGAGGTTATTTGAGGAGGTCAAATCTCACCATCAACAAATATAAAGAAATCATGGGACTTAAATATTTTAAATGTTTTGACGGTCAGATCGGTCTCCTCAAATAACCTCCTCACTTTAACTCCTCATTGTAGAAGCTCCCATAAAATTGCAACTCTCAAGGCCAGCCATACAAATCCCTAATAAGTGCCCCACCCCCCACACGGTATTGCAATCTGCAACACGCCAACGACTTGCTTGAATTGACCCAACCAATTAACTAGTATAATTGATTATAATATTAGTGTCACTGATCAAAACCAAACCCCACAAAATAATGGAAGTTTACACTAATTGCACCTCAAGCAAAGCGATTGAGTTTTGTAAGTGTGATCTTTAAATTGTGATTTAGGAAATTAACAGTTACAATTATAACATGCGTATATGGTGAAGATTTGTTTAGAGGATTTGACTAATAAGCTCATCTTATGAAAAAGAGATATTTAGTCATATATCTTTTCTTAACATTAATAATATAGATAAACCCTACACCATTTAATTTCTATAAATAAACCTAAAAAATGACAGCTAGTCCTATTGAATTTAATTTTGATTATTAAATTACTTTGATGTCATGTTGAGTGTTTTGGATTTTTTTTATTACAAATTTATAAATAAACCCAATTCTAGACATGTATTTATAAAAAAAAACCCAAACACTATTTAAACATAGAAACACACCCAAAATCAATAATTGTATATTTTTTGGATGTGTTTATAAATGGGTTTTGAGTGTGTGTAATGATGGGTTTTTGGTGTGTTTATAAAGTGTTTTGGGTGTTGAGTTTTTTTATAATTTCAGCTCCCATTTTGGGTGTTTTAGTGAAACTCCCTTTTTTTAATGAGGTTTTGTGGTTGGGTTTGTTTTAAGAAATCAATGGAAATTTTGTAATTTAAAAGAAGTTAAAAGTCTTTTTGTTATATTGTAAATGAGTTTTGGGTTCCTATATTAGATATAATAGGGAATCTCCTATAAAAAGTACCGTTTATAGGCACGAAATTGCATTCACACTCTGGTTGGCTTAGCCAAAGACCCCAAAGAAGAAGAAGAAGCCAATCACTCGGTCAGTTCATGGATACCGAAGCTTCACCGTAAGTCTCTCTCTCTCTCTCTCTCTCTCTCTCTCCTGTATTTTCCAACCCACATGAATAATGAATTTGATCATGACCAAGAAATTTTCTTCGGAAATATTTGAACAAAAAGGGGAAGACTTTGATTCGTTAATTAATCATATTCATACATACTTATATATTTTCATGCAGGTTTGAGAGCAGTGAGATGGTGGCAAGTTTCTTGGCCTCGACGCCTTTGCTGAACGAGGCATGGAAGCTATGCAGCGTAGCCAACACGGCGGCTGCTGCTCCATAGGGCGGCTTTGTAACCCACCAAATCGGAGATGTCGGTTACTTTGCGTTTTCCAGTAACGTAACTATGACATCATCACTATCATCACCATCATCATCATCATCATCATCATCAGAAGAAGAATATTCGAGACGCAGCCGGAATCTGGTGGCGTTGGGTAGCGCTGGCCACGGCTTTTTTTCTCCATTAACCAATAATAATGGAGAGGAAGAGGCCGTCATGGTGCATGCAGGGCTGCTCAATCTCTTCCTGGGCTGCTTCCAAGCTGTCCAAAACCAGGTCAGATAATTGATATCATTCATGCATTTCTTTTCTTTTTTGTGGTTGGAGGCTTTCCTGCGTGTTTGGCTGGTTGTTGCATTATTAATCTGACAAAAGGAACAATTCGTACCAATGAATGAACAAAAAGCAAATTTACGAGTCGTGTTGACAAGATTGCTTTCCCACTGCCAAAATCTTTAGTCAACAAATTGCCAAAATAAATTATATTTCTTTCTATGACCAAAATTAAGAAAAATAAAATAATTTATTCTTATGATAGATGCATCTGGAGTCTCTTTAGAGCATATCTAGTGGTGAGGTAGGAGTTTGGCCTCACAAAATTACACTGTTTATAAAATCTAGTATGTCTTGTTCTAGTACACCCTAATAAAATTTACTTTATACTTAGTTTATTTATAACATTTATTATTATTTTTTGTTCAAATGAAAGACTTCATTAGGGTGACTTAATGGAACCCAACAATCCTATTCTTGGACACACTCTTTACACCTACATACAATTTTAGATATGTCACTGCCCAACTCTTAGACATGTCCACCAACAAGGTATTCTATTCTTTAGAAAGTCACCCTGCAAATGAATGACCTTCAAGATATTATGAAGTAATATGGTTATGTACTCTACAAACCATCTCCACATTTCTTGATACTAGATGCTTTTTCATATTACCATTTGCATATGACCTTACAAGTTACATCATTTGTCTCACTATACTTGCAAGGCTCATATTCATCATTTCTGTCAGATGCAAGTGTTACTCAAGGTCTCTTCAACCTCTTCCTCTCACCTTCGGAATTAGACCACCTGATAACAATTATGATATTATTCATCTTTCCTTATACACGAGCCTATCTAACTAGGGCATTTTTACCTTTGAATATCTATACATAATACTCATGTTATGTGAAATTAAAATGTTAAAATTTAATGCCACGTTATTGATACTAAAAATGATTCCACACAAACAAACAAAAAAAAAACAAAAACAAAAAACAAAAACAAAAAATACTAAAAATGATTACCTCATAAGTTGTGAATTAATCATTGTAGTTAATTATACATTATGTTCTAACATTGCTGTCTTCACTAGCGGCGTCACCTTTTTTTTTTCGTTCCTTTAATAGGAAAAAGGTAAAAATATCTTGAATTAAATTTGTGGTTGACAACAACTTACTGAAGTAACTAATATATATTGGTGGGTCTGATACAACCGAATTCCTTTCAATTTTACGGTGGAACGTGTCATCGAATATTAGGTTAAATTTGGTCATCTACAACCAAACTCTTTTTTATTTTTTTGGTGAAACAACATCAAAATTTCCCACTAATTGTTCCGATTTCAAAACAACGACTTCATTTTGTCAAAAAAAATTTAACAAATTTGGCACATGAATGAGATATGTGAGACTAATCGAACGTTTTAGAGACGTGAAAGTGTATCACATGTTCCCGTTGAAAAATGGACAAAATAAGTCATTTTCCTTAAATTGCAACAAGGCCAAATAACATTTTTAGTTCTGTAATTTTCCACTTTGGTCCATGTTATTTGAATTTTGGCAATTTCTATCTCATAGTTTGATTTGACTTGCAATTAATTCATAATCCTATGGTCAAACTAATAAATGAAATTAAATGTGAGGGAACTTTTGTCTCCACAAAACATTTGCAATCAACCCAAAACATAAGAATTCTGTTTATTTTTCTTAGCAATGTTAGACTTGTAGGACTTGATTGCTAACTCTAAGAAACTATAAGCCTAATATTCCCAAAATTGAAACAACGAGGATCAAAGTGGAAAA